CCAGGAAGCCCAAATGGCAGAGCAGCCAGGATCACACTAATTAGGGCAGTGTCTGGTTTTGAACTAGCACCCTCATGCCTACAAGGAAGGTGTCTACCAGTGAACTCCTCCTGAGCAATGGATATCTTTGCTATTCTTTGGAACCCTGTAATATTTCTCTGGACCCAAGATAACATTTTTATTCAAGCTTAATGAATCAAATTCTAATTATATAGCTAGACAGCAAAATGTTTGGTAAACTAATCAAACACATTAGAATACATCATCAGTATAAGCAAGTGTTTATACAGTCCTCTGTTTTTGTCTTTCCATAATACCAATGTCAGGAACACCTTTAAATCACCACCTATAGAGTGGAAATAACACTTTTTAAAAACATCCAAATTAAGATGAGTTGAAATAAATAAAGAAGCCCAAGAGTAGTCAACAAAATTGTATTTATTCATTCATACATTAGGTAAATAATTACAGAGTACTATGCTAGGCACTGTCTGCTAGTACGCAAGACATAGGATAACTTACTCCTATGTGTGTTTTGCCCTCCTCTTCAATAAACCTGAAAATAAAACATATAAATTAAGGAAAATAAATGATTCATTTACCTAAGAGATGTTATTTAACTGGAAGGTCATTCTTTCTATTTGAATATTTTATATAAAGAACAACCTACCTTTCATTTTCAAATAAGAAATTATGGGACACCATAAAGAATGTTTTTCTTCTTGTGATACGTATGGTGGTTCCAAACACTTAAACAAGAGTACTGCATGAGACTGTTTCTCTTCATTATATAAATCTCCACAGTGCAAAGGTTGCAGACACTGTTGATCTTTTACGTCAGATCATTCTTTGTTATGAGAGGTTGTCCTGCGCCTTATAGGATGATTAGCAGCATCTATGGCATCTACCTACTGGATGCCAGCAGCATCACACCCCAACTAAGGCAAATGTGGGGGTGGTGCCAATGGAAAAACTATCCGCTGTGAGAGTTTTGAGAACCACCCCTTTTAGAGGAACACTTTAAAGAAAAAGTGACTGTAGGCAGAAGAAATGGCCTACTGAAGGAATCCCCGTGCTCTTTCTTGTTAGTAACATAACTCCAAAAATTTTGAAAAATGTTTGAATAGCTACTATGTGCCAAATAGAATTCTGGTGCAAAAGACAAAAGTATTAGTTGCATTTACTTAACTGGTGAGTTACACTTACAAACAGCATTTATAGGTACATTTTCATGATCATGGATATGGCAAAGGATCTTAGATAAAAGCATGAGCAACAGGGCCAGAGTGATAGTAGAACAGGTAGGGTGCTTGCCCTGCACATAGCCGACCAGGGTTCGATCCCTGGCATTCCATATGGTCCCCTGTGCACTGACAGGAGTAATTCCTGAATGCAGAGCCAGGAATAAACCTGAGTATCACTGGGTGTGGCCCAAAAGGCAAAAAAATTCATGAGCAACAAAAGAAAAACAGATAAAATGAACCAAAAATAAATGTAAAAAAATCTTTTGTGCTTCCAAGGACACCAGTGAGTGAAATAAAACCACCACAGAGTAAGAAAACTTAGTTGCAAATAATGTCTAAAAAGAGACCTAAATCAAGAATATATAATGGACATGAACATTTCAGTAATTAAAAAAAACAATTCTTTTAAATGGGCCAAGGATATGAATAGACATTTTGTCAAGGAAGATAAACAAATGACCAATAAACATATAAAAAGATGCTTGGCATCATTACTCATCAAGGAAATGAAAATAAAAACTATAGTGAGATACCGATTAGAAGGGCTAGAATTAAAAATTCAGAGTGACAAATGTTGGCAGGATACAGAGAAATCAGAAGTTTGCTGGAGGAACCTCAAAGGGTATCACTGCATAGAAAATGTCTGGAAGTTCTTTCGAGCAGCTAAACACAGCATGTGACCAAGCAATCCCACTACTTGGTATGCACTCTTGGGAGAATGAAAACATATCCACACAAAAACTTGTACATGAATGCTTATGGCACCATTACTTATAACAGCTAAAGGATAGAAACAATCCAAATATCCATCAAGTGACAAATGGATAAAAGAAATGTGATATAGGCATACTACGTAGTATCATTTGGGCACAAAGAGGAATGAACATGGATGAATCTAAAATAAGTACGAGTGAAAGGAGCTATTCACAAAGACCACATACTATATGATATCATTTATTTGCAATAACTGGAACAGAGAAATTTAAAAGAGACAGAAAATAAAGATTGCAATTGCATTGGGCTAGAGAGATTATTAAGTAAACTGTGGGTACAATAGCTAAAATATAAGGGATTTCTTTGTCAAGAATGCTTCTTCTTAAAACATTTAGAAAATTTTCTAAAACTGACTACGGTGACAGTTGCACATCTCTGAATATACAAAAATACACTGAACCTCTCTAAAAGGATGACATAAGGCAATGCAACGTTTTTCAAGCCTTTTCCAATAGTCGCCCTCTTCCGACCATGTTTCCTTCCTATATTCCCCAGTTCTACTATTTGGCACCCTAGTCTCAAGCCATAACCCACCCCACTTATGAGATTTTCACCTGTGGCCTCTTGAAGGAATATCCTGGGGACACACATACAATTCCCACTTCAGAAACCCTGATGTAAGTATGTGAATTACATGTTAATAAATCTGTTCTTTTAAAAAATAGCATTCAAGGTACAGAAGAAAACATGGCATTTAGACCATGGATTCATAAGGGAGATATCCTATTTACCTTGCATCTGCCTTCTTTGGGGTGTAAAGTAGGGAGTGATTATTGAATTCGATTTAAATTACTAACAGTGCTCCAAATGAACATGTGTTTAAGACTACGAAAATCTTGAAAGTAGACAAAAATTAAAATCCAGTCACCAAGGAGCTTTAGCAAGCATAAAATGCAGTGGCTGGTTTAAGATGTCTTTGGGGGCATTAAGTAATCAGTCTCGGTGGGGAGAGGGAAGGAAGGTTAAAGGGCTCCTATGGGAAGCTTTGGCTTTGCGGGCACCCTTCCTTACCAGCCCATGAAGATGCTGAAGCACTCCTTCAGGTATCCAGTAAAAACCCGATTTTTCAGGAAGCTAAAAATAATCACCCATCTGATTTATTCCAGTAACAGCTAGGAAGTCGAGTAAATAGTGAAGAGCCAAACACAACGAGACTTACGGAAATAAATACAAAGCTATACCAGTTCCCAGGAATGGCTACTGGGAAGTTTCAGCAACCAGCAGGCATTACTGCTTCTTCCAGGCAGAACCTAAGATAGGATCCGTGCATAGTCCCCAATTCCCTTATTGAAATTTTTCAATCTGCGTCGTTTTCAGGGCATACTGAAAAGTCGGTCTCCGTGTTAGCCCTACCAGGGATATACCAGTTAATCTATCCTATCTGATTGCAGAGCTTTGGATACGCCTGGTCTCCAGGGTCCAGTTTCCCTGACCTGAAAAATCGCCAATGTCTCCGACCACGAAATCCCCGCGGGGGTAGGGGAGACACTGGAAGTTGGGGGGGTGGGCGGTTTTCGTTTGTCTTGGTTTGTATTTTTATCCATAATAAACCTCGCCTCCTAACTTGTCATTGCAAGACTGATTTACCACCAAGTAGAATCTGGGTATCTCTTGCAGCACTATGCTCCAGTTTCCAACCAAAATTAGGGCGAATTTGGGGTAGGGGAGAAGACAGAAACAAACTGAAGGCGAGACTGATTTTTTTTTTTACGGAGTCTCAGATTTCAAATTACTGCCTTGGAAAGCTGAAATGAAACAGATTATTGAGGGGAGTGGGGTGGTGATCGACATTTATTCTCTAGCAGAATGCCTGTGGTTTGATGTGAAAATGGGGAACTTGGAAAGGGGGGTCGTCGATGTGGAAAGAAAAATAATAGGGAGGGGTCTTTAGGTACCACCCACCTCTCCAAAAGAATCGCTGCAGTGTTAGTCCTGCACCGATTGCGGGAATTGCCAAACAGGATGAGGTAAGGCTCAAGCCTGGAGCCCCCCCCCCCCCCACCTCCTCCTCCTCCCGCGCGCGCAAGGGCGCATCCCTCTGCGAGGTGCACCACGCAGCCCCCCGAGGCCTTGGCTGAGGGGCTGACGTCACCCTTCTGCATTGAGCTTCAGGGATCCGTAACTGCACTGATTAGATGGGGAGCGGAGAAGGGCTCAATTGCTGTCACCAAGGCGGCGGGGGTCCTCGCCCAGGACTCCGCAAATTGGGTTCACGCAACGAGCAAAAGACCAAAAACGGGGCGTAAAGATAGAAGGGAGTGGGGAAAGGGTCTCAAGCCCCATCATCCGAGTCCCCCAGAAAGCTCAAAGATGCCCCTGGTTTACATAAGACCCTCTCCCCACCTCCCGCGTCTCTGCGCCACCGCGGCGCCCACCCCCAACCCCCACTGCAATCCCGCCAGTGCTATTCGAGGCTCCGTTCGCCTTCGCCCACCCACCTCCACCCCCAGGCAGGCACAAGGGCCCCCAGGCGCGTCCCTCTTGCAGCCCCGCGGGTTCGGGAATCGCTGGGAATTGGAAATCTAACCCCGAGCTCCCGCGCCCACTCCCAACCGGCCACAGGTTAATTGTAAGAGGGGCCACGAACCTGCTGGTAAAAGAGGTTTGGGGAGGGATGTCCAGAGAGGAAAATAGACCAACCAACCCGCAACTTTCCCCTGTGGTTCACCCCATCCCGCGAGCTTCAAAAAAAAATGTATCAATGCATTATTTTTTTTTCTTCCGAAAGGTCGACAATCTGCGATCACCACCCGAGGCAGGCAGCCCCTTGCAGCCAGTGCTGGTTGGGGTGCAAGTCGAAGCAGACCCGAACCTGCTCCCAGTTATCCTGCAGCCCTGGCCCAGCATCGTGCCCCTTAAGGAAGGGGCTGAGATTTGATTTGGGGTCTGGGGTGGGTTTTTTCTTTCCCCTTCTTTTCTCCGAGCATCACTACACCCACCGCTGGACGGCGGCCCGGCCACTGGCCAGGCGCGGCCACTCACCCAGAAGACGAAGGAGTAGATGATGAGAAGGGTTTTGAGACAGGTTATCACAGGTTTGGTCTCCATTCTCCTCGATGCCATACTACAGAGCTCCGGCGGCGGCGGCGGCGGCGGGCGGCGGGCGGGCGGCCGCGGGAGGAGGGAGGAGGCGGGGCGGGGCGGGGCGGGGCGGGGCGGGGGCGCGTGCCTCCGGAGGCCCGGTGCGCGCGCAGGCGAGGCGTGCGCGTGCGTGAGCGCGCACCTCGCGGGGCGAGGGTGGAAGGAGAGGGGCCCTGCAGCGACTGCGCATGCTGAGCGGGCCGCCCCTCCCGGCCTCCGGCGAGCCCGCGCAGGCTCAGACCCCCGGCCCCGAGCCAGCAGGGCTGCTGGTGGGAAGGGAGTAGGAGAGCTGGGAGGAGGCCAGGTTAGAGGTCAAAGCTATGCCTATAGGCTTCAGCTTTGTACCAGGTCTAGGGCGTTTCAGTTTGCTGTCCTCGACATGAGGGTTTTTTTTTTTCTGTTTCCCGATCACCACCACCAAAGCAGGCACGTTCCTAAATTTGGGTGCCCACTAGGCCTTCTCAGATGGAAGTGGTCCAATAGTCCTTGGAACAAGCAGGCCTGCGTGTTAGGCTCAGACTGACAGGTGGCCTAAGAAATAGCTGGAAGGATGATCAGGAACCTGAGAGCTCAGACAGATCCCAAATCTCTGCCCCTGCCAAGAGTTCCATTTTTAATTTCCTCACATTATGAAAGATGAAGCCAAATGACCAGAAATTTCTGTTTAGTGATACCCCTCCTCCAGCCATTTCATGTTTAACCCATTCACTGGGGCAAACGCTCGAAGTGCCAGAATCATTTTCCCACTCTAAGAAACCATATACCCAGAACATAACAGAGTGGAAAATAAAAACTTGCCATGGGAAATATTTTAGAAGTTCCTCCAAAAACTAAACATTGTGACCCAGCAATTCCACTCCTGGGAATGAAAACATATGCCCACATAGAAACTTGTACGGGAATGTTTATATAGCTTTTTCATAATTGGCAAAACATGGAAACAGCCCCACTCTGCATCAGTAATGAATAAACATAGTGCCATGTATCCTTACAATAAAATCTGATTCAGCCACAACTGGAACGAAGTACTGTGACATGCTATATAATATGGATGAAACTTCAGAATGTGTTAACTCAAAAGCGCTGAATACAAAAGACCACATATTGAATGATCTAGTGTAGTCAATATTGAGAATAGATAAATTCATAAGGAGGACAGAAATAGATTAGTGGTTGCAAGAAGCATAGCACATTGAGGGGTTGACAGTTAATGAGCAAAAGGTTTCTTTTTTTGGAGTAGCAAAAAAACTTGGAATTGGTGGTGACAGTGGCATAATTTTGTGAATATACTAAAAGCCACAGAATGATACATACTTTAATAAAAAGATGACTTTTGTGGCATGCAAATTATATCTCAATAAAATAATCTTGTCCACTCCTGCATGGACTGGAGCCATAGCACAGCAGTAGGGCGTTTGCCTTGCACGCAGCCAACATGGCCGACCCGAGTTTGATTCCTCTGCCCCTCTCGGAGAGCCTGGCAAGCTACCCAGAGTATCTTGCCCGCATGGCAAAGCCTGGCAAGCTACCCGTGATGTATTCGATATGCCAAACACAGTAACAACTGTCAAAATGGTGACGTTACTGGGCCCACTCGAACAAATCGATGAACAACAGGAAGACAGTGACAGTGACTCCCTGCATAGTTTCTGTTTGTAGATGAACCCACAATACAGATCCTATGGGAGATTTGGCTTGATTCCCAAGCAGTTGCAGTCGAGCCGGCAACACTGACATAGGCTAACACAGTGGTAGATCATGTGAAGGATACCTTCTGTGAAAGACTAAAAGAGCCCATTAGGTTTGGGTAAAGACTGCCAAGGTCAATTGTTGCAGGAGTAATTATTACCTCCAATGATTTGTAAGTGGTCCCAAGGTCAGTGAGGTCATTGCATAAACAAGCTACAACTATGAGGAAGAGGAGAGCCTGGATAAGTAAATAACCTATCATAGCAAAAGTGCATGTGGGCGAGAAATCAAATACGGATGCAATTGGAAAGAATTGGGAACAGATGGGCACAATTTCTGTTGTAAAGGAAGACCTAGCACAATGAGTTTCAACTCTTGATTGCTCATTTGTGTCACCTGGAGAGTTTATAAAGTGCCCAAGCTGTGACTCCTCATGCCCCACACCAAGTAGCCTGAGTCATTTTGTGTGGAGTGAAGGAGCAAAGTTTTTTTTTAAGTTCTTCAAGTGGGCTTAATCACAAACTGAGAGACACTGTTCTACAGAAATCAATCCTATTCCACCCACACATACATTTCTACAGAAACCAGGTTGATTCCTCCTGTTTTAGGAAAAGGATACTAAGGATATCAAACCCAAGGGCTGGAGAGATAGTTTAGGAGGTAACATACTTGCCTTGCGTGGGGCCAATCCAGGTTCCATTCCTGGTACCACAGATGGTTTCCTCAGCACCGCCAGGAGTGATCCCTGAGCACAGAGCAAGTAACAGCTCCCTCAGCATGCCAGTGTAGCCCAAAAGCCAAACAAACAAAAACAGTGGGTAACCTTTGCCTCTGAAGGTCTTTTCGATGCATAACTATTCTGTCAAGGTGTTGGTAATTTTTATTTCACTCCAAGTAGGACATTGCTGAACATCATAGGTTATTTCATGAAGTGAATGTGTGATAGTCACAGATGGCACCCAGCATCTTAACTAATTCACCATTTCACAGTTTTTCTGGGGCTTTAAGGAGATGCTTATTAGGTTAGCATCTTGAAAATTTGGACTACCCTTGCAAAAATTAATTATTTAAGTATAAAGATAAATGAATATGTAGCACAGTTAATGGGCAAGTTAAGATAGCTTGTAGCTAGATCCTTGCTCTTCAAATTGTAGTCTCTGGTATAATAGGGTGATAAACCATCTCAGTTTTCTTGTTTTCATGGGTCTCCCTGCATTCTGGAGTTTCATTTTTGTTTTGGGGCTTACTCTCTGCTCTGTGTGCAGGAGTCACTCTTGCTTGTGCTTGGGTAGATCCTATGTAGAACTGGGAATTAGAACTAAGATCAACCATATTCAAGGCAATTGCCTTAACCCCTGTTCTCTCTCTGGTAAATTTCACTGCTAAAATCAGGAATGCTTTGTCCAAACTAGAACAAGTTCATCATTCTATCCCTGAACTACCGTCCTTAGCATCCATTGGGAGAACTTGTTGAAAACATGTAACCTCAAGTCCCACCCCAAGTCCAGGTAACAAGATCCCCTGGAGATTTAAAATTTCAGTAATACCCGTCTGTCATGGATTGATATGTGTCCCTGAAAAGATTTGTCAGAAGTTCCAATCCTCTCAAAATACAACAAACTCTATCATATTACTCAGCGATTTACTGATAAGTATAGATCCCAAACTGGTATTCAATTAAACTTATTTGGACTTGTATTTGAATGTTCATAGTGACACTATGCATAAGTGGAAATTGAAACAATATAAATGATGAATGGATAAATATTGTATATCCTTGCAGTGGGATAGTACTTAGTCAAAATGGAAATGGGATCCTGATATATGCTATAATGTGGATGAATCCAGGAAACCTACTGACAGAATAAAAGCTAAGCACAAAGACCACATATCGAATTTTCCCATTTGTATGACTATCCCACAATAGGCAAATCTGTGAAGCCAGCAATGACTGCTTTGGGGTAGGGGTGGGGGTCGTGGGAGAAAGGGGAATGAAAAAGTAACTGCTTTTCATTCTGTAGTGGAGTTTCCTCTTGAGAAGACAAAAACATTTTGTCTCCAGATAGTAGCGATGAATTGCAAAACTTTGTGAACTGGGTTGTATAATAATTATGAAAATAAGAGGTTCAAACAACCCAATTTAGGTTCTCTGTATTTTATCACACACATAAATAAAACTTCACTGCAACAAATTCAAAGGTCCTGTGGTCCTTTGGAAAAAAATAGTTCATTTGGAGAGAGGAAAGAAGGATAAAAGGGCTCAATAGCAGGTGAAAGAAGTCACACAGGAGAATGGAAAGCCATCAATTCACCCTGATCCTAGCAGACAATAGCAAAAAAAATGTAATGTTTATCAAAAAGGAAGCAAAGTTTTGGGGTTTTGTTTATGTAAACTCAACAAGTACTTTGAGGTGAACTGAACTGCCAACAAACCCTGGCTCTAAGCAGGTCTCTACTGCTACTATTGATACTCTTGATCTGGTGGCCACACAGCAACTAGAGTAATCTTGCTCAGACATAAACCATTTTGTGTCATTCCTTTGCATACAATGTCCCAGAAGCTCCTCATCATTCTATATGGTATGAAATTTCCAGTCTTTACCCGGACTTGGACTGGAGCAATAGCACAGCGGGTAGGGTGTTTGCCTTGCATGTGGCCGACCGGGGTTCAATTCCTGCATCCCTCTCCGAGAGCCCAGCAAGCTACTGAGATTATCCAGCCTGCATGGCAGAGCCTGGCAAGCTCCCCGTGGCATATTCGATATGCCAAAAATAGTAACAACAAATCTCACAATGGAGACGTTACTGGTGCCCACTCAAGCAAATCGATGAACAACGGAGGACAGTGCTACAGTGCTACCCTGCCTTAGGAAGCCTTTGTGAGCTGGTTGCAACTTCCTCTCAGACCATTCTTCCTCTATCCCTGACGCTTTATCTTCCTGGGCTTTGTTTCTGTTCCTCAAGCAATCAGACTTGTCTTCACATGAAATCCTTCGCACTGGCTAGGCCTATCTTTGGTAAAATGGTCCCCCTAAGCTCTGAAGGATTGGTCTCTTCCCTTTGTCACTCAGATCTCTGTATAGATGTAACCTCATCAGAGTCCACTGTAGATTAAAATATCTCCCCGACTAAAATAGTCATCCAGTTCCTGTTGCTTTAACTCCCTGCATCACTTAGCCAACATCTTAGTCCTGTGTTACCACTGTAGTCCACCTCTCCCTCTAAGTAATACACAGGTTCGTTTTTCTGTTTTGTTCACTGCTCTATTCACAGCTCCTAGACACAGTAGCAATTCCAAGAATTTGTTGAACAAGTTGAAAAAGTATAGTATATTGTAGTAACTTAGCATATC